ATATTTATATACATGCATTCACTAATAAGGAATAAAATCACAAAATTTAGACCATATAAATTGCAGGTATATTTAACCGGACATTTATGTACATTTTTTAAATTAATCTAAAATTTTTTATAAAGCAAAATAATAAAAAAAAATTTATGATTTTACTTTTTTAGTTCTACTATTCATTCTTCTGCTCTTCTCAATATTGTGTTTACTAATACAGTATAAAACCGCACACCCGTACAGTTAATTAGCAAAATTTTCTCTTAAAGCGTCATCAGGTGGATTCTTTTTAGAATATACATACATATGTATGTAAACATAAATAGTGATAAACACTTGACAGCCATAATATAGTTTATTTTTTTATATTGGGGTGTTTATGTATTTGAAAATTTCATAATAACTTTTTTAAATATTTTGTCAGGAACTATAAAAAACATGGTAAATTTTTCTTGTAAATCTCTCCCAATTCCTTTCGTTTTTAATTTTAAATAGAATGAGTTGAATTATAAAAAGAAAATTATGTCAAGTATTATGAAAATAAATACTGGTACATTATATACAAAATTATGTACAAAATACATAATATTTTTCCTAATGCATGTATAAAAACGAAATGTTATTGTTTGGAGTTCTCGCTTTTAATTGTAACAAAAAAGAAAATTTTGCTTTTTCTGTTATTCAATTTAACAGAAAATGTTATTCATCAGAATTTTAATTCACAATTTTTTTATGTAGCTAACTTCAAATTTGAAATCATTAGTTGTACAGGTGTCTGTTGTCGAATTCGACTGTAACACAGCTTAGTCACGAAATGAAATTTGGTTTGAATTTTACACCCCCATGGGAAAATTATTTTAGAACAAAACAACAGGAAAATGTACTCAATTCTAAGAAAGGTACTACAGTATATTAACCGTCTCCGTTTGCAATTTCAACACAATTTTAAAATATTTGCCGAAAAATAAAAAATTTTGTTTCTTTAAAGTCTATTTTAAAACAATGTGGTTACCTTTATCATTATCTAAAACTCTTATATTCTTAAGAAGCCCTTAAAATACATATATATTTGCTTAATTGTCATTTTTCAATGTTAAAATAAAACTTTTTTTAAATTTCATTTTCCAAGCACATTTCATGTACATTTTTTGGTTATAATTAACCACAAAAAGCAAAAAAAAAAAAACAATTATGATTTAAAAATGAGCTTTTTGGACTTTGAATAATTCTTTTTTTTAAGAAGGATTTGCTTAAAATAGTAAGTAAGCATTTATGAAAATAATTAGAAAAATAAATTTTTTCCTTTGATCAGATTTTTTCTCCATCTTTAAGGCTACTTAGATGTGGTTAATTAAATAAATAATTTTTCCGCAAAGATTTCTGGTTTTATAAATATATTTTGCAAAGATTTTGTTTTCCTTTTATTTCGTTTTCTAAATTTTAACTATTCTGAAATTGTAATTTGACCTATGTAAATGTAACTTAAAAGTCTGCAACTAGCGAACATTTTAACATTGAGGCAAAAGAATATCAATTATTGTATTTTATGGTCAACTAGTGTTTTTAAAAACTAGCATAATAATTCTGAATTTCCCATAATAGAGGAAAATTATGACGTATGTAAATAAAAAAATTTATTCTGCAAACGTATGTAAACTAAAACCGAGCTAATCAAGCTGTTGTTGTACTTAGTTTCAGTTTCTAGTTGTAATTTAGCACTTTTCCAAAAACTTTTGGAAAAAAAGTGCTTGTTAGTTTCACTCTGTCCGTCCGTTCGTCTATCCGTCCGTGAACACTTTTTTTTGTTTACAAAACTTCTATACCCTTAAAGATAGAAAGCTGAAATTTTGTATATACATATATCTTTACTGGAAACTTATTTTCGTAGAACAAAACTTTTACCTATCTCCCCCCTCTAGAAGATATACCCCAAAAACCCTAAGCATTTTTTAAATTTTGCAAACGCAGAAAGGCAGTTGTTTGCTTCCCCTAGCGTGGTATACTTTAGTTAAACTTTAGAAAAACAAAATGGTCGTTCAAATTAACCGTTATCTAAAGTCCTTTTTTTCCAAATTTTTGATTTCGTTTTTCTTCCAGATCCCACCTTGTAGAACCTTGAAATTTTAGGAGCTTTTAGACATTAACAAAAAGTTTATTTCGTTACAAGAAAATTTTTTTCCATCTCCACCCCCTCTCCAGTTATCGCCTCTTGAAATTTGTAAAATTTGAATTTTTGATACCTTATATTTCCGAAACCGCAAGCTATTTGAAATTTCTATAAACGCAAAAAGCTAACGGTAAATTGCATGACATTAAAAAATATAATTATTTTTCTTAACTCACTAATTATGTAAACCATTCTTTAAATTTTTACTTTATTTGAAAACTGCATAAATCGTTCATCCTAAATATATGCAATCCTAGAAATAGTTTTGTAAATGAATAAAAATAATTTTAATAGTGTAATAGGTATACATAGACTGTATTTAAAAGCAGAATTTTCCCTTATTGAAGTGAAAAGTGCTACAATACAAACCAATGGTTTCACCCAACTTTATTTTTTGCTAAGTGTTCGACATTTCGGCCTTTAGACCTTTATATTGGGCATATATTCGAAGATTTATTCTTAAACTATACATAGATTTGAACGTTTTAGTTTTTTTAATTCTTATACAATGTTACATTTAAAATATTTTGCATTCAAAAACTAACTTACTTAAAAAAAATTATAATATTGCATTATAAGTTCCCACTTTTAAGAGTAAATGGAAAATGTTAAATCAATTTTTTAAAAAATAACTATCAGAAAAATTTTTGAATTAAATTTTTAAAATTTAAAAATAAACTTCGTTATATTGCAACTTTTTATTATATTGCAACTCACCAAAATTTCAAATATTTAAAATTTCGAGCTGATGAACAGGATTTTAGAGTTGAATGTCCTTTCTTTGTTATGATATTGAATAGACGACTTTGTTTGTTTTTTTATTTCACATTTTAAGCCTAAAAAAATATCACTTGAATAGAATCGAATGCTTCAATGGATTTTTTTTTAGCATAGATTTAGTTTAGCGTATTATTTCGAGTTTTTTTTATTAATTTTTAGTTCGAATAATAAAAATAATGAAATTTTTCAAAATTTACTAACATTAAGTATATTTGTACGTATACAGACTAGTGCATAAAATATTTATAGGCACCTACATTGATATTCTAAAAATTAATATAATAAAAAATTGGTTCTTCAAAATCAACACAAACATTTATACACAAGCAAATATACATAAATAACGTTATAATAAATAGTTATACCCACCAATAAAAGAAATTTTTTAGTTCTAATAAATAATCATATAGTCTTAAACAAGTATTTTTGCTCAAATCCTTGTAAAATAATAATAAACATTGGAAATATTCATTACAACACTAATACAATTAATGTCTATTGAATTGTAGTAAGTATTAAAGCACATCCCTAATGTCTGAAAATTACAATAAATAATAAATTTAAAATAAGAACGATAGCCGCAAATGGCGATTAAAAAATAATGGAAATGAAACAAATATTCAGTAAAATCAGTTGAATACTAAACAAATGCTGCAAATTATTATATAAAATAATGGGAAATTTCAAGCAATGATTTCTAATAATAAGTTCTTGATTTGTTGGAAGTTTTTTTTTAAATAATCATTTTCTTTTAGAAAAATTTGAAAAGCCTTCGTACTCAATAATGTTACAGAATTTTCTGTTAAGTCTTAACTTCCATCTATTAAGTCTTTAATTATAAGTAAACAGTTGTGGTGGCATTAACATGTACTGAAAATTTTTATTGAAGCTAGGAAACACCAAACTTAATGAAGTCCAAATTACCTATTGCAAATGATATTCCAACTTAATTTCTCAAAATTAATAATATAGCTTTAAAATTTTGAAACCTCTATTAAACCACTTTTATATTATTCCCAAAAAACAATAATTCTTGATGAAAGAATTTGATGATTTTACTGTTATTTTTAAATAACGTTACATTAATTCAAAAAAAAGAAAGACACGAAGTAAAATAAATTGTAGTACGAATTCCTTGAAGATTGAAATAGCAATTTAAAAATATTTTAAAATAATTTCACTTGGTTTAGATCTGAAAAATTTATTAATCCCGTGAGAAAGATTACTTTCTTTTTGTCTTTTTACATCCGCTTCACTGATTTTCGATTCACGTTTATACTAAAAATTATATTTACAAAGTACTACAAAAAAAAAAAATAAAAAATAATAGTTTTAGTTATAAATATTTACTTTTTACTACAGTTTTCATTCTAAACAATATTTTGTATAGAAACTGCACGTAAAATATCACAATCAACCATACAAGTTAAAATATAAACTCATCTACTTAGGTAAATGGTTTAGTTGGAGATTTTATAGAATATTTCGTTAGAATCAAATCGATTTTATCAATTTAAAGAATGAAATGAATGCTTTTCACATTGAATTGTAAATAACACATTATAGGTGTATTGTGAGACGTTGTGCACACAGGAAATACAATAAAAATATTGAATTTTTTTAACAAATATTGACAACATTTGGATTATCCATTTTGGCAACCGAAAATTTCATAATACTTTATTTATCAATTTTTCAATTGGATAAAATTATTTATTTACCGCATCATTTTTTCCACTACAATTATATAAGAAAAATCAGGAATTTTTTAATCCTAAATAAGAAAACTTAACTTTTTTATAGGTCTTTTAATAGAAAATTCTAAATCTTCTTTAATAAAAATGATAAAAAGCAGTTGATTTAATGAGGAACTTTATTGAAGCTAACTTATCAAAAACTTAATTTGCTAAACTCATTTCGATTTCTTTCTCAATTCACTAAAAATTTATGAATATTTTCTAAATTGCTAGACTGAAAAACCTTTCGAGTAAATAAACTAATATTCTTTGTTTATAAATTTAAAAATATATACATGGAATATGATAAAGAAAAAACTTACCATGTTGGCATTCCTCCAACAAATACGTCCGAATTTGTAGCAAATTTACCAAATTGAAATTCTTTACCTCTTGATGTTCGACTTTGTGTCACGCCATCAACAATAAGTGTTGTAGTTTCATCATTTCGTAGCACCTAAAAAAAAAGAAATAACAAGTAAATTAACAATCCTTTTCTATTATTGTCATTAATTATCACGAGGACATTAAAATAAAAGGCATGATAACAAGAGAAAAACGGAATTAAAATAAATGAGAAAATAAAATACACAGGTAAAAATAGAATTTGTACTTAAGTATCAGTGCAATATTATGCACACTGCACGTTGATGGATAAAATTAAAAAATATGTGGACATAATTTAATTTTAGTAAAATTAAACTGAATTTAATTTAATAAATGATTTTTTAATATAATTAATTACAGTTGTATATGCAAACATGTTTTTTTGATTTTAGAAAAAATATGTGCTTTATGTCAACTATATGTGAATTTAGTACTTGTCAATAATAAGTATTGCATCACCAAAAGTGATGTTATAAGAATTTTGCATAATGTGTTTTTAAAATTCACATAAAAATTATTCTTGCATTTTATATTTACAACATATTCCATGAAAATGTTCCAAAACAAACAGCTTTTGTGTGCTCCTATATTTGTCATTATAATGGGAATGATACATACTCCATATTCACAAAACAAAAAGGGAAATGAAACACTGCCATTAAAAACAAGCAAGAATAAAATAACTAAATAAAACTTCGAAATAGTGAGTATGTCTCAAACCTACACATAAAATTTTTTTTTTCATCCAGTTGACTCTACTTCTTTTACATTTTTTTCTTATTCTTGTATTTTTCAACTTTAAGGTGACGAAGACATCAAAAAACTTTCTTTGACTTTTACAAATTAATTTTTACATTGTAATTTCATTTCATTGCACTTTTTTTCCTCAAAATAAATTGTTGTTTAATTATTAACATCAGAGACAATTATAGAATAAGAAACGAAAAAGATTAATTGAAATAATGCTCAAAAGACAAAAATACAAGTATAAGGAAAAGGATCAAAAAGCAAAAGTTTTTAATTATTTCTTTAATTTGTCTTTGTTTGAGGAATACTGAAAACTCATTTTATATTTTATCATTAGCAAAATTCCATTGCTAGATTGTTGGTGGTGCCGATACATATTACTTTTTTGCGTAACAGATTGAATATTATAGTTTGAATAATTAATCTGTTGGCAACTTCATAAGCATTATTTTGTCAATTAAATTATCCAAATTTAAATGGTAAGGACTAAGGCTGATGACAGCACAATTCTTTCTAATTTACGGTTTTATATATTTGATTTGAAGGACAATACATTATACCTTTAATGTAACTTTAGAAATAAATATTCGAGGAGAAATGATATTTGTTGGAACAATGGTGGTGTTAATAATTTAGTCGTTTATTTTTACTCGCTATTGTAACCAAATATTTGGAATCAAAGGAAAATTGGTATACAATGTATGTACATTATTTTTGACAGAAATTTTAGTTCCTTTCAACTTTTATTAAAAAATTTTTGATTATAAAATTTTCTTGGATTTGTTGTTGTTATATGTACACGTATGCTAATACATATGTGTACGTACTTTATACACATAACACTTCAGTAGATACAAAATTTAAAAAAATTTATTATGCAACCGCAGTCTTATAATTAAGATTCTATTAGCATATCAAAATTTAGTTTTTACGCTTTGAAACAATATATAATTCGAGTTCGATTTTAGAAGGATAAGCATTATATCTGTTATACATATTATTGTCTTTAAAAGAAAAATTGAAATAACAAATATTATTTGCTGCCGTATATAGACATAAATGTTTATTTATAGAATTTATGTATATTATTTTATTCACGTAATTGTATGTTAACACATAAATTCATACAGAAAATTTACTTCCATTTCGTAATAAAAACTGTAAATCAATGTTTATAAGAATTTTATGGGAATTATTTATGGCCTGTTAATCGTTACTTTTACACCAACCAATCTATAGTTATATGGTTTCATATTATTATGTTGGTTTCTACCTATTTTCTAAAAGTTCTTGCACGTTTATATTTAATATAGGTATCTCCATATTTTTATAATATAATATTATGTACCATGTAAATGTTTTCAATGAGAAAAATTATAAGGAAAATTAACAAATAAATAAAAATATGTATTATAATATGTGTACGCACAATATTTATACATAAATGAATAAGTAAATAAAGAATTTTCCTTACTAATTTAAAATATATTTAGAATTATTTCGAGTTTATTATATTTCGTTTTATTTCTTTAACCTATAGCTTGTTAGATAGATATATATGTAGTTATATCTGTATATGTAATCATTTCTCTACGTTAAAAATATATAAAAATTTATTTTATAACAATATTAATTTTATTTGGGCTTTGTTTTTGTACAAAAATTATTGGAACATAAAAATTCCTGAAATATATTACTTTTAGATTCCTTATTATAACAAATACGAGTATTAAAATCTCATTCATCAAAATATAAAATTTTGCTGTGTAACTAAAAATATATTTATATGTTAGCAACTATGAGAACATAATGCGAATAAAAGTTACACAAAAAATTTAGTCATTCTTCATCCTATAAAATAATGACTTGTAATATTTTTGAGATGGTCGAAATTATGTTATGAACTAACCTGCATATATAAATCTATTGATTAAATAAATATTTTTTGAAAATTGAAAGACATTAACGTTATATTATTTAAATAAATCAAATAAAAAAGGAAGTATCCATCTTTTTTGAAAACATTGTTTAATTGTTTGAAAACTATTAATTTATTGTAAACTATTAATGTAAGTTATGTATGTATATTGTTACCGTGTATCAAAATCAAACTAAAACTATAACTAATTCCAAAATGAATCTTAAAATATAAAAAAATATATTGGCTTTGTTAATAAATTACATAATATCGAAATTAATTGTTTATTGAACTCAATTACTTTGCTTCGAATATAACTTCAAATAGAACGGCTAATAAACTTTAATTATTAACATCTAATTTCTAGCTTATGGCTGTCTAAAAGATTTTGTAACCAGTAGATTCCGATAAATTTCATGAGGTGGCTTACAATAATATATAGTTATATTCTGCCAAAAACTCCAATATACAAATCTACCAAACAATGTACATATGTAACTTATCACATTCAATTTCTACTCTAGCTTCAATTTCTAGTATTTTATGAAAAATTGAGCTTATAAATTACAAAAGAGGAATAATATAGTGAATCTAGATTGATTTATATTTGATTTAAAGTTTAATAAATTATTAGGTACCTACATACATAACTTTTTCCAATTTGAGTTTTGATAAGTAACTTTTTGCAATTTGACAAGCTGTGCGATAAAAATTTCGTTTTGTAAATTATTACAAGTTTTGACGAAGATTTCAGAAATATAATTTTTAATTTAATCTCTGAAATATTGATGAAAAACATCATATACTTACATATATATATAGTAATTGTGTAACTATATAGGTATTTATTAAATATTTAAGTTTTTTTTATGTAACTAGGTTTTTTAATTGAAAACCGCAATGCTTAATCTTCATATATAACTTCAAATTTACGCTTTCTCTTTTTTTGTTTTCTTTGACTGTATTTACTTTAATAAAATATGATTATGTAGATAATTTTAATTAATTAAACAATAGTCCTTTCTTAAATTTGATAAAAAATTTTGATAATTTAAAAATTTTTAGAAAATTGAGATAACCAAAAATTTGCACTAGACTTTTAATAATTGTTCTTATTTTAAATAATTCAATCAATTTGTTCTTAACTTTTTGTTTATGCGTAAAAATTTCAACAACACTGGCTGAATCAATTGAAGAAGAAATGTACTTCAGAATAACATACTAAGAAAGATACAAAAACATTTTAATAAACCTAACTCTTAAAATACAAGTAAGTACCTATTTCTCTTGACATAACTACATATTTGATATTATCCAGCTTCTTATATGTGTTAATAATTATTATATTCATAGAGTGTATTATAATATGTACATGTATACATGTTATATGTTATGTATATCTTGTTCAAAAATAGTAAAGAAATCACTTTAATAAACGTGCTAAGCTCTGATTATTCTGTACAAATACATTATTTATGTATGTACAAATTTATGTGTACAGTTACACATTGGAACTTATATAATAAGTTATATAATAATAATTATAATATCTTCATTAATTTAAAAATAAAATTCTTAAATTCTTCTTGAAACTATTTTGTAATTTGACTACAAAATTTTTGAAAAAAGAAAAAAGAAAGATGAAATTTTTAAAAGTATTTTATCAAACAAATTGTATCTTCTGTTTTATAGAAATAAATATTGTTATTAAAAAAAAAAATCTTCTTTAACATTTTTATTAGTATTACAAGAATATCAAAAGAATTTCATACCACATTTGTATACTATAAGCTCTTTTTCATACCTTTAATTTTTATAGTATTCTTCTGTAAAAATTTTGTATGTTTATTGTACAGCTCCGAGTTTCAGGTCATATAAGAAATTTTTAAATTTCTGTTCTAAAAATAGTTCTGCAATAGTTAAAGCTAATATAAAAGTTAAGATTAAAAACACGTGTAGCATTTTATTTCTACTCAAAATTAATATTACTTCAATTTTTCTAATTTAATAATTAATTTAACAGATGAATTATTTTAAATCGTAAAACATCCAATACTACGCAGTATAAATAGTTGCATGTAAATTACCATTGGAGTTGCCTCATCAACCATTAAAAAACGAATGAGATAGAAATTAGAAAAATAAGATTAGTACTTGGCAATATTTTTTTAAAAGTTTGCTTTAAAACATGTGACAGGGTGAATCAGAGTTATGATGAATTCAAAAAATATTTTGTGTTATTTATTATTCATTACTGTGAAATACATACATTATGTATTGTAGGTGATCTTTGTTATTTATGTTGATCAAAGCTGAATGAAAAAGAATACTATTTATGTGACCATTAAAATCACATTTAATTGTGTGTCAAATATGAAAATCTTTTATGATCTACCTATTTTAAA